TGTTCTAAAATCGTAAGGCACAAGTGTGAGGAACTCTTCCATATAGCTCCATAATAGAAGATGTCTGAAGCCACGATAAGTTCTCAAAAACACTGTCAATCACGATCACATAGACTGAAGCTATGTGATTTAAGGTTCATGTGAATGAGGTTCAATGTCCTAAAATCGTAAGGCATAAGGGAGAGGAACTCCTCCATATAGCTCCATAATAGAAGACTTCTGAAGCCACGATAAGTTCTCAAAAACTCTCTCAGTCCCGATCACATATTTTCAGTATTGTCTGTGTGCAATCCGACTATGTGAGCTAGTCATTTTGATTACGCATATATCTCTATAACACTCATACCATTTAATAGCCAAAGCTTCAGTAACATCTGTGAATGTTGCAGCCATTATTACTGGTGCATTTATTATACATTTCGCAACAATCATCATAATTCGCGCTAGTCTCAATCTGGATCGAGCGAAAGATGTCCCTATACTAGCAGACTTCTTCCTCTAACATATAATACATTGAAAGACGACATCATCACAGCAGTCTGCACAAAGTCTACAAGTCACTTGATTACCACAATTACAAATAAAAGAAACTAGTAGTCCCATTTGTAGTAGACGCTGTAGTACCAGTTCATATGTTAGGCCCATATACTTTATTCTAGTTACTGGCCAAGCCAATTCACCTGTACATTGAGTCATCTTTTGATCTTGTTAATCATTTGCTTATTAACCTTGAGTACTTTTTATATGAGCGCATATGTGTACACTTCGTATCTTATTCATCATATGTCTGTCACTCATTTTTGTCTGCCTATAAATGTTAGTTAACGCTTGCTTAAAATGAGTTGGCTTCCCAGCCATCTCCAATACGCATCATCTTTGCTTCGCTTGCTTACAGTTGCTCATGTGCTTACAACTATCTGGTCTGCATCGATTATCAAGAAAAATGTAGTTGCCGCTTCCCTTTGCCTTCTGATATTATACACCGTTAAGATTGGTATTAATAACGGTTATCGAAGCGAACTATGATCGAAGCACGGCACTACAAAACTGGTAATCCCGACGTACGAACACGCAACACAATTAGCGCTCCCGACTTACGAACGCGAAAACATAATTGGATGTCTCGCCGAACGAACATCGACCAGAATCGACAACCTCGACGTACGAACTCACAACATAATTGGCACGCCGTATTTGGAACACGCGACAGAATCGGCAACCGCAACGAGTGAACACAAATCAAAAATTAAACCGCGGACGACATATTTCGTTGATTCTAATAATCATCATATGCTCATTATTACAATAATGTCATATCATCATCTAACGTGGAATTCTTATTTTTGCTCGTATTCACATTAAACTATGACATTCACGCAGTCATATCACTAATCGAACAAATTATAATGATATGGACATTACACGTTATGATATTCGAAACTCACTGGATTATTTTTATTATCCAATGACGTACAATTTTCCTGATTCAAGTGAGTTCGTTCCAATTTTTTTCATGTCATTTTCGGTCTAATATTACACACTATCATAGACATAAGTTTGGAGTCACACTCCCGGTAGTAGGAACTTATGTTCTCGATGCAACTAATGTTCATTTATTTCATTGGTACGCAGCAACCGTCGTCCCCTACATTCTCAGCGACAACCTGAACCGAACTTTCGCAATTTTTGTTTTACGATGATCCCTACTTTAATGTTTATACACAAATTAAGTATTCGACGCCGCATTACCAGCCGATTAGTAATGATTATGCTCATATTATCTATTTATTCACATTTATATCTGAATGCTGCATCATCCATTACCGATAATCACTATTCGATCGCTGCAATTAATATCCTATTTCCATTGCACTATACACCAGAACATAGAGTTTAGAGCTAGTCTCTCAAAGATACACTCTTGTTCGTCTCATTCAAGTCAGTCTCACTCACTGTCATCGATAATCATATGTATTGGTATTTTTGTTATGCCTTAATACGGTTTCGTAACAAATGAGGTTGAGCGCATATCCCTCTAACCACACAAACCACGCTAGGCTGCATGACCATAGAGGAATACGACTCCGCATATCTCGTCTCAACAGTCACTATCCTGTTCCTCTGGTCATTCTACTAATACATATTTAACGATAACTCGACGCACACGACATCGTACGCTGACTTCGCATTTTATTATCATTATCAGTGCAGCAACGAATATCAACCGTTGATGAAGTCATCATCCTACGGCTGGATTATTTTTAACCCTCATGAACTCCCGGCACGTAAATTCGAATTCACTCACCGCCAATCGACTATTTCACTGTTCTTTATCCTCATATTCAATCAGCACCACAGAGCAATTACTGTTATACTCTATTTTCACTATATTTCAAATCGCTCATACGAACATGTTATTTTATCATTCGGACAGTCACTACATAAATTCATGTTAAATTTTTTCGAACGCTTACTAATGTACTCATAATCACATGCTAGCATCCCTATTTTTGTCCGCACTTTGACAATATTCATGTTCCTTTTTACATAAGTATGACACTTTCGCTTAATACGCTCACCCCTCACATGACACTGTAATTCATCAGGTATTGTACCATTTTTTCCCACATTTTGACGTTATCCTCATACCGCTTCAGTGTTATTTTTCGAAAACAGACATTTTTTTATAAATGTGCTATTTTCTACAAGGGGGCTATGTAGTACCAGTTCATATGTTAGGCCCATATACTTTATTCTAGTTACTGGCCAAGCCAATTCACCTGTACATTGAGTCATCTTTTGATCTTGTTAATCATTTGCTTATTAACCTTGAGTACTTTTTATATGAGCGCATATGTGTACACTTCGTATCTTATTCATCATATGTCTGTCACTCATTTTTGTCTGCCTATAAATGTTAGTTAACGCTTGCTTAAAATGAGTTGGCTTCCCAGCCATCTCCAATACGCATCATCTTTGCTTCGCTTGCTTACAGTTGCTCATGTGCTTACAACTATCTGGTCTGCATCGATTATCAAGAAAAATGTAGTTGCCGCTTCCCTTTGCCTTCTGATATTATACACCGTTAAGATTGGTATTAATAACGGTTATCGAAGCAAACTATGATCGAAGCACGGCACTACAACGCTCAGTTATCACGTCTTCGCTTAAATCTTTTGTGAACCTACCGTACGTGATCATCAGGTACTGAAATGGGCTCGTAACCTTGAAATCACTCAAACGCTTCTGATTGGCTCGTCCGTAAATTATAGTCTCGGCAATTTACTAATGGGATTTCAGCTCATACTCTAAAACTATAAATCTACGTTTCTTCGAAAGGAAAACAAAATTCATTGAACAGTAGTATTTTATTGAATATTTTGAATTATGCTTTTCATTTTGTTTAAGTTAAGAAAACATTAGAAAATGTAGATTTTTGTTTTTGATTCTTTGTAACCTGACAGAAATGTCTTCTGGTTCTTCTCTTATTCCATGGACTCGCACAATTAAAGTTATATAACCCATCTCATAACTCATAGTAGCTTCTTTAGGTCAAGTTTATTCATCGCTTAATAAAACCGTTTTACAATTAAAATAGTAATGTGGTTCTATTAGTGACCAGTTTTGTTGAAAACGTCGTGCGTGGTATCACCTTATGGTCACTGCGATTGGAGTCGTTGAATGACCTTCTTCAAGTCTCCTTCCTCCTCAGTTCTAGGCAGTGCTTATTTAAATGTGTCCACGAACTTCTCAACTAACACGTTAGACTGCGGATATTATGGGGTGTCTTGATTTGGCTAACGGAATTGGAGATGAAAAACTTGTGCATTTCACAGAGGTCAATTTAGATCCCATTTAGATCCATTCTCTCATACAAATACATCCGAACACTCAAACACAGCTGAATACCTGTCTCATGTTTTTCCGAATTAGATTTCGTTGATACAGACTTCCGAATGTGAACTTTTGGCCATTCGGAGAAGGCATCAACAATTACTGTTTGTGGAAGCCACAAAATTCACATGCCATCTTGTTAATAGATTTGTTGTGACTCCCCAACGTTTTATTTCTGTCATTCAAGAGGTTTCGAATACTTTAGCACATTCAGGATATTACGCAACATATTCTTCTATTTGAGTATCAATACATGATCAGTAGTCAGTCGGTCAAATGAAAGCTGATAATTAGAGAAATGTGATTATTTATAATTTACTTAGTAATTACACAATAAGTATATATATATATATATATATAACGGTCCAGGAATAAATCCTGGGAGCTACGCATAATTTATTATTGTTTGGATACAACTCTAGATATAGATCCAAAACAGCCTAAAACTGTATTCTTTTCAGTTTCCGAACATCATGTAAATACTATCTCAACCCCTGTATTTTTTTCAAATTCTATCTCTTTAAAATCTCGACTTGTTTACTCACTGCTATGTGCAATTGTGATTGATAATCAATATTATTCGAATTCACTTGGTCATCAGTGTCGATTACTTCATGTCGTATCATATCACAATATGACACTTGAATACAAATATGGTTGTAAGCTGGTAATAATCAACCACGCTGTGTATTAAATTCAAATTACTTTACCTCAATTGTTGTTGTGCAATTCATACGAAGAACCAATCGAGTGAATTATTATACCTTGATATTTGGAAGTAATGAGTTGTAACCATTGAATCTATTCAAACTCATAATCCTTATGATAGGTTTACTTGTAAAATCTACAATAAAAACATGAAATATGTCTGAATACTATGCTCTTATCAAAATAAACTAAGGAGTGACCTATAAAGCTTCATTAAATCATCCACACTGTTATTATTACAATCAATTGAATAGTTCATAGTACTTCTAATTACTAGTTTAACCAGATTGCATAGTGAATCTTGTCTGTTGGAGATACCATTGAGAATTATGTTTATCATCAATTCATAAAAAATATACAAACACACACAAACCAAACCAAACTGCAGTTCAAAGTCTCATTATTGAATATAATTCTAAGAAGATCTTTTTATTATTTTCAATTTATCGGTTTGAATAATCTATCATACGGAGCATAATTAACAAACCATTAGGACTGTGTTTCACAACACCATTTCTGTAATTTGTTAAGTAAGTAATGATGGATTTTCATAGGTGAATATTCCCTTCCTGACTATCTCATCTACTTTTATCAATTCCATGAACCATGATTTTTTATATTTTCATGAAGCGGAAATCATGCATCATCAGCAATGCGAAGGTGCATCAAAAACCGAAAACGTTTCAATCAATGTCATCTTACTCTATAATGATCGGCTAAAAAGTGTCTAATGACAGATGGATAATTATTAACTTGAAAGTCAGTCGATTACTCAGTTATTCCACTAAATTAACATAATTCAACACGATGAATGAAATGACCAAGTATCAAATTGTATTCAGTCCTTTCTTCCTGCTCTCACTGCACTTCATTTTCATACATTTATAGCATTGGAAATGTAAGAAAACGGTATCATATTTTTCCTATTTCCAGATACACTTGGAGAAATGTTTGCTGATCTATACAATAGTTCATGGATGCATAACTCACGTAGTAAAGTTACAACTATATTGAACGGCAGTAATATTTCTGCTCTATCGGAGTATACGAAAAGGGTATGATGTAATGAATATTTTAAGTTGTTTATTGATTTCAGGTTTTTCTAATTCTTGGAATTGAAATAGCTATTACACTTTTGATCATCATAATCTTATCAGTGCTGTAGGTTGTTCAATCAACCATAAAAGTGAATATTTTGTAGGGAGACAGTTCAAAATACACAGAATCCATGGACAGATTTACCTTGGATATTGATGTACGTTTTTAGTTATTGCAATCTTATCATTATTGTCACTTGTTGAGTTAAAAGTAATAATACAAAATCTAATCAACTTTTCCGAAAGTTTATTTATCGCATTCAATTATGTAGCCATTTGGAACATCATGTAGAATGGTATGACCTACTTAGCTTGCAATCCATTCTTATTCACATACTTAGAAACCATCATACACATAAATGATGTTTCGGCATGATGCCAGTCCATTTGTTTCAATTTATCAACTTATTTATATTTTAATTCAAGTATTTCAAAAATACTGATGAGAATATGATTGGTGTTGAATCGAAATATCCACGAACAATGGATTCTGGAAACTAGTGTAAGCTGTCAGTAACTCAGTAGGACATGCATTTTGTCTAAATAATGAAAATGTATAATGATCACATAAGGTGTATTACAATTTTTAATTAACAACCATGCACCTTTTCTAGACTTGATGGAGCATGTCTTATTTTTTAAACTACATGTTGTTGTCGAACGATAGACCTCATTTTATTGAATATTATCACCCCTATATCAGAATTGTATTCAGTCGGACCATTTAGATTGAATCGAATAATTACTTGGAAACACAAAACTAATGAAAACATATCTTCAACATTCATAGATGACAAAGATAACATATTACAAATCCTCTTCTAATACCATGCAGGAACAAAGAATCCTCTAAATAGCTCTATTTTACTCACATGGAGTTTTGTTCTCTGAGCTGGATGGTTTAATCGTGAAGCTTTCATCGTGCTTCTGAACGACATCATCAGCACAAACGTCGAGTAGAAGCTACAAGACCAAACCATCCAGCTCAGAGAACAAACCGATATCAAAATAACTGGTTTTATTAAAGATGTGTGAATATTTGTTTAAATTATGACAATGACATTTGAATATTACTCTCATTCATTTTGATCTATTTTGTAGATGTTTTGCTTTTGTGTTAGGAATGTTGATTATATTCGATAAAGCAATAACGAATAATTATCCACTCAGTGTTGGTCTTCTGATTATTCACGTAAGAACTGAAAAATTGCATATATATTTCCCATCATACCTTAACACATTCTAGGAATATTGAATAATGCTTGTTTAACAAAATTCCTCAACCAACAAGAAAGACTGACGTTACTCCTGGACCTACAAGTTTATTCATTGTATGTACTTACCCACTGTAGTTTGGTGTAAGTTGGAAGCAGGTTTAATTTGTAGGTTCGTATCTATCTCACTGTGAAAATATCAAGCCAAATTACTTGATTTAGTCAATTAAGATATATCATACAATGATAATATACATACATGTCAATAGATATCGTTCATACTTCGTCACAACTGGATGAATTCAGATTATGCATTTCTTAAATATTATTGTTGAAATGTATGCATAAATGGAAAGAATACACCCCTGAGTCCTCCAAAGTTGTTTAGATGTGGAACGACTTTTTAATTAGGTAATGTTCATTATTTACTTCTATCAGTATAGTAGTAAGTCACTTTTGTTTTCACGAAAGTGATAGCATAAAACTGAAAGCAGTCCATTCGGGATTCGAAAACAAACATCAGTTTTCTCGTAAACATTTTCTAACTATAGTCTAGTAAAAACATGATGTATGACGATGGGTATAGTACAGAAACCTCTCTGCAAGCGGTTAACTAGACGTTGATCACTGATCTAACTTATATTTCATTTTTTCACATTTCAGTCGATATTGATCGGTTTTGCGATTGCAATTTCGATTTGGAAAGTATGCGTCTACTTGAAAATTGCTGCCATCGCAATCACCTTGATATCTTTTATTTGTTCCATATTCATTGGAGGCGCAATCAAAACACGATTAGCCGATCATTTCTTGTTTATTCTAATATATTTTGTGATTATTTCCATTGCTTTTGTTGCAGCTGCGACTGTTTTCTGTTTTAGAGCATCGGGTATGTGAATGAGTGATTAGGTAATCATATTTCAATTCATTTGCTCTTAATCCTTAATATGCGCACTGATTTCGAAGAATAAATAAATTATTTCACAAGTATAGTTCTGTGTGTGTTATACAGATTTCAGTACGAAGACTACTAAATAATACTCAATTTATTTTAATAGATGAGATCATGAATCAATTGAGGATAGAACACCAGGGAAATGTAGGAAGTACTGGAAAGCCATTTCATCCTTATGTAGAACACCTCAGCAGTGCGCATCCACCATCCCGTCTCGCGAGATTCGAATCCAGGAACTTTCAGTTTCGTGCGTAATCGCTTGACCACTAGACCACTGAGTCGGCATCCAATGGTGTTGATTTTTAACTTCAACCGATCCTTTATTCATATTTATTTAACCAACAAACTTCTATAGTTTTACCACCGTAACCATAACAGGTTGTGTATGATACTTGTACACGAATAAATCACGGTCTTCAATTAAACGTCTTTCTTAAATTCATAAAATGTAAGTGATTGCATTCAACCTTAACACTACTGAATTATTTAATTATATATACAGGATAATATGTAGAACAATTTAGAACAGGCAAAGTGAAATGTATTCTCTCAATTACATAATGTGCATCAATCGTCCTTTAAACAGTGAAAGTCCGAGATTACAATATTTAGAATATGAGTTGTATCTAAATATGTAGTTCAATTCATTTCACAGTCACATTTTGGTATTGATAATTTTATACTTAATACCCGTTTGTTAAATGTTAACTTATCATTGGATTTTAGGCTGCACTGGTCGCTCTCGAAGTAGGTGCTGATATAATACTATTCCTTGTGAGTAACATTCACTTATGTATTTATATATATATATATAACATCCTAATTGATCAATTGTATAATACAATAATTTGGACTGATGAGAGAATTCGACACTGACTGCAAATAATAAGAGCAGTTTGTCGAGGTTTACGTAAATGATACATACATCGTTTTCATATCATGCTTCACCCTTTCTTCGATTTCTAAAGAATAGTCATTGTTCTCTTAAGCGTAAACTGAAACTACTATTGAACATTTCCATTTACTTGCAAAACTGAAAATACTAATTATTTGGTTGCATGTGTAAGTAGAATAATGTCTCAATGACACATTTCAGGATGTAATACTTTTACTACTTTCAGCGTTGATATGATTGTATATGTAATTTGTGGAATAATTGAACATTCAGCATTCGAGTAAATCTAATCTCCTCATACGAATTTTTGAATTTCTCTCCACAGATAACAATCTGTTTCACTCAATTTACTGTTGGAAAGTATCCACTGAGTGTTTTCCCTCCATATTGGACGTTAGCAGCATTAATAATGTATGCTCTATTTTACGCGAATTTGTCAAATAATTTATATTTGGCTGAAACTATTCAAAACGTCACTCAGAACAAGACTTATTTGAAGTTTCACTGTTTATAAGAAGATCCATGTAAACGTTTTCGACGTAATTCATGTTGGCGTTCATATGGATTCACAGTAAGATTTCCAAATCAGACATTTCCAAACATTCTCATTTTCTTCCATCTATAATAAAATATAAGTTGTACAAAATTATATCTCGTGATTATTTTGTTGTCTATCAGAGATTGGAAAATCAATCTGTGATATATAGAAAGGTACTGGGTTCGATTCCCAGAGTAAACATCAACTCAGAAATGCAGGTACATCCATCTAACGAGTCTCAAATAGGACGAAATGTGTATTCTGGATTCGACTGCTAGCCTCTATCCATCTTTGCTTACCATGCTTGTGAATTTAGGCTATATCAAGGCAATACGCACAGTATGCACATATGCCGATGAGAGACTGACCAGTTGCTGTTTTGAAAACATCAATGGGAAGATCCAAGCAAACAATAATAAGTAAATTTTCAATTTAGTTTGTTGGCGAACATTATTGAGTTTGTTAGTTCACAACACAAATTCATTGTCCTAGTTTCGTTAATTATCTAAATAAGTTGGGTTTGTGGTGTAGATGATGGTTTAGTGTAATTGAGTATTCATCATCAAATATTCGTGATTTCACCATATTTGATAATGATTATTTTCATCACTCAGCTATTACATATCATAACTATCGATTTCCATCACTAATGAGGATATCCTGCTTCAACGCTCACATCAATATTAACATGAAACGCGAGACCACGATCAATAGTGAATAGTGTATCTCACCACCGATATGACTAGATAACTGGTGGTAAGAAGTCTAGTAAATCGTTTATAGTTAACCAACCGTTATTTACAGACGCTACACTCGTTTCTGACGTCGAATAAAGAATCGCTGGTACAATTCTTTAAAAATACCATAGGTGACCAATATAACAAACACAAATTTGATACATATACTGAGTCATCGATCATCCAAATATTTACGTCTTCGATTAGCAGATTTATTCCAAACAAGAACGTGATGGGAAATAGTGGTCGTCGAGAAAGAAATTCAATACAAAATTGACACTGCCAGACTCCATTTTCAAAAATGAGTATTTTATGAAACTGATATTTTACATCAGTGGTAATATCACTCTTTATAGACTAGTCTGCTCATAAAACTTACTTGATGCTGATGTGAGCATGATAGAATTCTCATTCTGCGTGTGAATGTACAAACAAAATGATGACTTATTTAAGCATTCAATTTAAATAAAATCAATATGTCACATGGAATTTAACAGTTAACTCTGTTTATATTGGATACCCGTAAACGAGATCGCAATGTCATGCCAATCATTATCACTTAGCGTTTGCACAAAAGCTGATAATAGTAGATTCAACTCAGACTTTTCGTGAAAGTGAA